GAATAGGTTTTGTCGTGCCCTCTTCATGACTGTCTTGGTGTGTTTGGACCATGATAGTTCGTTGGTGATGTGGACACCAAGGAACTTGAAGCTCTCAACCTGTTCCACTACAGCCCCGTCGATGAGAATGGGGGAGTGCTCTGTCCTCTTTTTTTCCTGTAGTCCACAATCATCTCCTTTGTCTTGGTCACATTGAGGGAGAGGTTGTTATCCTGGCACCACACGGCCAGGTCTCTGACCTCCTCCCTATAGGCGGTCTCATCGTTGTCGGTGATCAGGCCTACCACTGTTGTGTCGTCGGCAAACTTAATGATGGTGTTGGAGTCGTGCCTGGCCATGCAGTCATGGGTGAACAGGGAGTACAGGAGGGGATTGAGCACGCACGACGGGGCGGCCCGTCACGAAGTCCAGGATCCAAATGCAGAGGGAGGTGTTTAGTCCCAGGATCCTTAGCTTAGTGATGAGCTTTGAGGGCACAATGGTGTTGAACGCTGAGCTGTAGAAAATGAATAGCATTCTCACATAGGTGTTCCTCTTGTCCAGGTGGGAAAGGGCAGTGTGGAGTGCAATAGAGATTGCATCATCTGTGGATATGTTGGGGCGGTATGCAAATTGAAGTGGGTCTAGGGTTTCTGGGATAATGGTGTTGATTTGAGCCATGACCAGCCTTTCAAAGCACTTCATGGCTACAGACGTCAGTGCTACGGGTCGGTAGTCATTTAGGCAGGTTATCTTAGTGTCCTTAGGCACGGGGACTATGGTGGTCTGCTTGAAACATGTTGGTATTACAGACTCAGTCAGGGACATGTTGAAAATGTTGGTGAAGACATTTGCCAGTTGGTCAGCACATGCTCGGAGTACACGTCCTGGTAATCCACCTGGCCCTTCGGCCTTGTGAATGTTGACCTGCTTAAAAGTCTTACTCACACCGGCTACGGAGAGCGTGATCACATAGTCATCCGGAACAGCTGGTGTTCTCATGCATGCTTCAGTGTTGCTTTTCTCGAAATGAGCATAGAAGTGGTTTAGCTCGTCTGGTAGGCTTGTGTCACTGGGCAGCTCGCGGCTGTGCTTCCCTTTGTAGTCTGTAATAGTTTTCAAGCCCTGCCACATCCGACGAGCGTCGGTGCCGGTGTAGCATGATTCAATCTTAGTCCTGTATTGACTCTTTGCCTGTTTGATGGTTCGTCGAAGGGCATGGCGGGATTTCTTATAAGCGTCCGGGTTAGAGTCCCGCTCCTTGAAAGCGGCAGCTCTACCCTTTAGCTCAGTGCGGATGTTGCCTGTAATCCATGGCTTCTGGTTGGGGTATGTACGTACGGTCACTGTGGGGACGACGTCATCGATGCACTTATTGATGAAGCCAGTGACTGATGTGGTGTACTCCTCAATGCTATCTGAAGAATCCCGGAACATGTTCCAGTCTGTGCTAGCAAAACAGTCCTGTAGCTTAGCATCTGCGTCATCTGACCACTTATTTATTAACCGAGTCACTGGTGCTTCCTGCTTTAGTTTTTGCTTATAAGCAGGAATCAGGAGGATAGAGTTATGGTCAGATTTGCCAAATGGAGGGCGAGGGAGAGCTTTGTATGCGTCTCTGTGTGTGGAGTAAAGGTGGTCTAGTGTTTTTTTTTCTCTCCTCTGGTTGCACATTTAACATGCTGGTCGAAATTAGGTAGAACGGATTTAAGTTTCCCTGCATTAAAGTCCCCTGCCACTAGGAGCGCAGCCTCTGGTGAGCGTTTTCCTGTTTACTTATGGCCTTATACAGCTCATTGAGTGCAATCTTAATGCCAGCATTGGTTTGTGGTGGTAAATAGACAGCTATGAAAAATATAGATGAAAACTCTCTTGGTACATAGTGTGGTCTACAGCTTATCATAAGGTACTCAACCTCAGGCGAGACATCCTTAGTATTTGATTTTGTGCACCAGCTGTTGTTTACAAATATACACAGACCGCCACCCCTTGACTTACCAGAGTCAGCCGTTCTATCCTGCCGATGTAGCGTATATCCCGCCAGCTGTATGTTGTCCATGTCTTCGTTCAGCCACGACTTGGTGAAACATAAGATATTACTGTTTTTAATGTCCCGTTGGTAGGATAAGCGTAAATCGTAGGTCATCTAATTTATTTTCCAATGATTGAAGATTGGCTAATAGGATTGATGGAAGAGGCAGTTTACTCGCTCGCCGTGGGATCCTTACGAGGCACCCCGACCTACGTCCACGATATCTCCGATTCCAGCCATATGTGCTGTTAGTGGCTGTGATGTATGGTTTAGGAGTTGATGGACAGTCTGAAGAGCAAAATAAATGGTAGGATGGATATCCCAGCTTCAAGTGGTGTCAGATTTCACATCCTGCTTCATAAAGGCAGATGATACTCCTGTGTCTCTGTGAATCAGGGCTACTGCTCAATGCAAGCCATTTTGATCTACGGTGTCCACAGATGTCAGTGGGTAACCGTGTCCACAGATGTCGGTGGGTAACCGGTACCAGAACCACGCAGGTCCCAGAAACAGGGGAATTTACATCGAAGAGGTTTTTGATGGAACCACATGGGAACTTGTGTGGAATGTTCTGTGGAAGTACTGATATTCCCACAGAAGAATCTTGTTTCTTAACATTCTCTGATCAATTTGAGAACATTACTTTAACTAGAACCATGAGGAAACGTGTAGGAATCATTATACTGAAGCACTGAAACTCCCACTGAGCAACATTATTTCTTAACGTTTTTGGAACTGTTTGACAACATTCCCAATGTTAAACCAGTTGGAGAACATTCCTAGAACATTACCAAAATGTAAATTAAATGTAACCATGTTTGAACTTTTAGGAAACGTTCTGTTAAAGTAATGAAATACCAAGATTTTTTATTTATTTTTGTCAAGTTCCTTAGAATGCGCTGAGGATATTCCAAAGCCAAGTAACTATCCTGCACCATTCCCAGAAAGTTGTGGGAAGATTGTTAGCAAAATAACCATAGGACAACCATGCTCTCACCAAGCTCTAAGAAACATATGGTTCTCAGAATGTTATGCGCTAGCTGGGTATTGTCTCATCACCAGCCTTGTAATCATCAGAGCAGCACAGCATGTTCTCTGTACAGTGAGTCTAGGAGATAGCTCAGCTCAGAGAGCCTATACCACACACTGTGTGAGAGGTGGGCGTGGGATGTGGGATGGATGTAGTGAGGATTGATTAACCTCGGTTAGACAGGGCCAAGTGCTTATCCTGCCTGAGGAACAGATCACCTGTACTCCCAGAGCAGGAGGATTAGTCTGGAGAACACCAGAGTGACTTGTCTGGCCAGACAGGGCCACAGGTGGAACCGATAATTCCACTTATATAAAATGGTGGTAATTGACTTAATAATGACACTTGCAGACCGGACAGAAGTGCCTATATATTGCACCCCCTCACACAGTATAAAAGCAAATAATAGGTTGTTCTACAGCACGAGTCAAACTCAAGAGCACATTCAATCTGGCCGGCGGGTGGTTTGAGAAAAAAAAAAATATATATATATATAATAATCTTCTGGGAAAAACTATCTCAATTGACATTGAAATGACTAAAACCACATTGAAACTGTGTAGAAATGATAATGGACCTACATTTATAGTCTCTTCTCTAAGTCCGGCTTGCTAAAGGTTCTGTGTTGCTCAGTTGGTAGAGCATGACCCTTGCAATGGCAGTGTTGTGAGTTCAATTCCCACGGAGGACCGGTACAAAATACAAATAAAATGTTAATGTACTCACGACTGTAAGTCTCACTGGATAAGAGTGTCTGACAAATAATGTCAAATGCTAACACTAATCAAAAGCGATGGATATGGGACAATTTTCTACACATTTTGACGGCGAGGAAATATAATAAATTTTAAGTGCGGCCCTCCAGACCTCGGTGAAGACCGAATTCTGCCCGCAGGGGGAAATGAGTTTGACACCCATGTTCTACACAGGTATGGGATGGGATTCTTTATAGATTGTATTATGGTCTGGCACCTTCTCTAACAGCCAGATATGTTTCCATTTGGCAAGCCAAGCTTGTCTTTGGCAAATTTAGTTGAATATAATATAATGTCCCTTAGATTGTAACAGACTGACTCTCATGTATGAGTCCTCATGTGGAGGGTGAAGAGGTTGTTGTGTCTAGTGCAAGTGCTAGAGAACATCTCATCTTCAGACATTGCTTAGAGATGTTATCAGTTTATCTCACTTGTCTAAATCGTGCTGTTATGTTCTTTCTGTGCCCTGAAACAAAACATCTCCCATCACCAGTCATCTACTACAGCTTGCCTGCTGTAACCATGAAACCTTAGCGCCCCACTGTTTTGTTGCTCAATTGTAGGTTGCCACCTTGTGGTGAAAGTTGAAATAGCTTCAGTATATCATCACCTTTTAAATGGGTCAGCGCTATCTGGAATCTTTGGGACGTCCCTACCCTAAACCCTAACCCTTACCATTTAAAATGTAAACTTCAATGGGGTAGGGACATCCCAAGGATACCAGATAGCACATACCTTTGTAAACGTTTAGCTGTCATACTCCCATTCCATGTTCTTAACTCAACACAGTAAGAAGAAAAAAAATCATTTGTTATGGTATAGCCATCTCTATACCAGCCACCATATTATCTAAATAACAAAAAAATGTGAAGTATACCATTCTCCTCAGAGGATCCAGGCAGAACATAGTTGACCAGACTCTCAGCCAGGGTCAGTGCAATGTCTGCTCCCTCCCCTGCCAGGCGGACAGGCTTGCTGCTCAGGACGTATCTAAAGCCGTCCCTGAAGGCACTCCTGGTCAACTGGAGCCTACTGGATGCCATGCTGAGCACCATGTCTGAGGTGCCAGCGATGGGGCTGGCAATGCCCTTCTTAGCTGTCTGCACTGTAGAGGAGACTGCCTCCACGATGCCAGACGCCAGCTGTGTGAAACAGAGAAAAAGACAGGTTTTGGGGGCAGAAGTCATGCTGTGTAACAAGCATTTTAAATTGACTCAGAAAATAGCATCCTTGCCTTCTCAGGGGGATACTGCAGAGCTGGGATCTTCTCCTCCAGACGATCCAGCCCTTTACAGGCCAGATTGTTGGCAGCAACAACTAGAGACAATACAATGAGTTTAGAGAAGGTAATTATGTGTATTACACTGCCGATAACCTCATTGAGTATTGAAGACATTAAAAGATGTCCTTGACCTCTACTCTGTGATCTTATTTCATCACAAATAATACATTATTAAAACACATCTCCAGGAGCTAGATAGAAAAAATGCAGATGAGATCATTGTTATTTAGGCAATGCTCCCTGAGACAGAATATCCATGGCACACCTAAGTGACCGTGCAAGCTGCAATATTCTATCTGCCTTGGTACCTTCATTACGTACACTCATTACAACAGAACGTTTTTCTCACTTGCCGATGGGTTGTGAGCAAAGTCATAAGTATTGCATTTTGCATTTCTAGATTCAATATTTTCCTTCATGCGTGTTCATAAAAATAAAAAAGTAAGCTAGAACATGAGTCAATTAAATACACTGCTCAAAAAAATAAAGGGAACACTTAAACAACACATCCTAGATCTGAATGAATGAAATAATCTTATTAAATACTTTTTCTCTTTACATAGTTGAATGTGCTGACAACAAAATCACACAAAAATTATCAATGGAAATCAAATGTATCAACCCATAGAGGTCTGGATTTGGAGTCACCCTCAAAATTAAAGTGGAAAACCACACTATAGGCGGATCCAACGTTGATGTAATGTCCTTAAAACAAGTCAAAATGAGTCTCAGTAGTGTGTGTGGCCTCCACGTGCCTGTATGACCTCCCTACAACGCCTGGGCATGCTCCTGATGAGGTGGCGGATGGTCTCCTGAGGGATCTCCTCCCAGACCTGGACTAAAGCATCCGCCAACTCCTGGACAGTCTGTGGTGCAACGTGGCATGGGTGGATGGAGCGAGACATGATGTCCCAGATGTGCTCAATTGGATTCAGGTCTGGGGAACGGGCGGGCCAGTCCATAGCATCAATGCCTTCCTCTTGCAGGAACTGCTGACACACTCCAGCCACATGAGGTCTAGCATTGTCTTGCATTAGGAGGAACCCAGGGCCAACCGCACCAGCATATGGTCTCACAAGGGGTCTGAGGATCTCATCTCGGTACCTAATGGCAGTCAGGCTACCTCTGGCGAGCACATGGAAGGCTGTGCGGCCCCCCAAAGAAATGCCACCCCACACCATGACTGACCCACCGCCAAACCGGTCATGCTGGAGGATGTTGCAGGCAGCAGAACGTTCTCCACGGCGTCTCCAGACTCTGTCACGTCTGTCACATGTGCTTAGTGTGATCCTGCTTTCATCTGTGAAGAGCACAGGGCGCCAGTGGCGAATTTGCCAATCTTGGTGTTCTCTGGCAAATGCCAAACGTCCTGCACGGTGTTGGGCTGTAAGCACAACCCCCACCTGTGGACGTCGGGCCCTCATACCACCCTCATGGAGTCTGTTTCTGACCATTTGAGCAGAGACATGCATATTTGTGGCCTGCTGGAGGTCATTTTGCAGGGCTCTGGCAGTGCTCCTCCTGCTCCTCCTTGCACAAAGGTGGAGGTAGCGGTCCTGCTGCTGGGTTGTTGCCCTCCTACGGCCTCCTCCACGTCTCCTGATGTACTGGCCTGTCTCCTGGTAGCGCCTCCATGCTCTGGACACTACGCTGACAGACACAGCAAACCTTCTTGCCACAGCTCGCATTGATGTGCCATCCTGGATGAGCTGCACTACCTGAGCCACTTGTGTGGGTTGTAGACTCCGTCTCATGCTACCACTAGAGTGAAAGCACCACCAGCATTCAAAAGTGACCAAAACATCAGCCAGGAAGCATAGGAACTGAGAAGTGGTCTGTGGTCACCACCTGCAGAACCACTTCTTTATTGGGGGTGTCTTGCTAATTGCCTATAAATTTCCACCTGTTGTCTATTCCATTTGCACAACAGCATGTGAAATGTATTGTCAATCAGTGTTGCTTCCTAAGTGGACAGTTTGATTTCACAGAAGTGTGATTGACTTGGAGTTACATTGTGTTGTTTAAGTGTTCCCTTTATTTTTTTGAGCAGTGTATTTAAATTGCCCAATTTATCATAAAATCTCAGTCTACTTATCACCAGAGAACAGTTTTGCAATTCATGAATGTGAGTTCAGGACACAGAGTTCATCCAATGTTAATTCAATTTCACAACCAGGAAATGTAACATCCCCAGAGAGAGTTATGACAACTGTGTGTTCTGCCCATCAACAAGTAGAACATAGAAACAGTCAAGCCAAGTAATCTAAACCTGGCTCAGTCTACTAGACCTGGCTCTACTAAGAGCTGGCCCTAGCCCAGGCGTACTGCAGGACACATTCCCAGACTCAACAGCACAACGGCTTTGTTGTCACTACAGATAATCAAACAAACAGCAAACCCTCTCAGTGAGAATGAGTTCATTTACTCCTTTTCATGTATAGCACTTCACAGCATCAACATATATTGAAGGATTACTTTTGAGGTAATGTATGTTCAGGTTACTGTAGTAGAAGAAAATCACAATCATGTAATGGTACTGCAGTTTGAAGCAGTATAGACTATGGTACTGTAGTAGCTGAACATATGGTTAATTAACTGATTACACAGCCTATCTATTTGTCTGGACTGGAGGCAAGGTGACTTTCTACAAATTTGTGCAGTGCAGAAATTGATGACCATTAGCACTAGGGAATCAGTGTGCTCACGCTGGGTCTCCAGTCGGTCGATGGCAGGCTGGATGCTCCACACTGCCAGGCTGCTGGCGGTCCTGGCCCCCCTCTCATACACCCCACATACAGAGCAGAGGAGCGGGTGGGTCTGCTTGGTGCTAGTGTAGGTCCTCTCAATAACCTCACAGGTAGAGCTCACTGCAGGTAGGCTTAGGATTCTGACAAACACATTGTCCTGAGAGACATGGAACAACAATTCACTCCTCAAGCTGAGACAGACATGCTCAACTCTGTAAATGTGCATACATACTGTAGTAGGCTACATGCATACTGTTATTATAGTCTGTCAGAGAGTTACAGATGAGGGTTAGGTTAGGATGTTGTACTGTAGTGGAATTATGTTACAGTGGCCCCAGCGCATGAACAGGTAGTTCTAAACTGTTTGAAAAACCTTACCTTTACCTGGGCTTTGGTGGATGCTGTTTTCTCTGGAGCCATAATGAGTGATCAACTAAGCCTATGTGAATGACATAATGATGAATCATTGTTGTACCTGAAGCAAGTTTGGAATGACTTCCAGCATATTGACTTGTGGAGACATTTTATATTGAATATGGTAGCCTATTATTATTATTATTACAGAAGAAAACAAGCAATAAATAAATAAATAAAATGTAAAAATAAGACAAACTAACCGTTTAGTGTTGAGTCCAGCTGAAGACTGTGGCATATTTGATTTTGTGAGAAACAGAAGAACTATACAGACAAAACCTGAAAAAAAAGCCTGCTAATCACGCCCACTTAAAGGAGAAGTTTACCCCAAAACCAGAAACTGCCAATTGATTCCATACCTTGAAACTATTTCAGTAGAGTTCCACTCTCTCTCCCTGGATTACAAAACTGAGGAAGCTGCAAAAACAGGTCATGTGACTCGTGACGTATCTACATAGCAGGGGTTTCCCCATGAGGGCGCTCGTGCACAGTTTTTACCCATCTCTGCTGTTGTGTCAGTCGGCTACCTAAAATAACAATTTAAATTATTGCAAATATTTTAGGACGAAAAGTACACATTTCCTGACTCAAAACAGTATTTTTGACAAAAAAAAGCTAATTTGGCCTTACGCTTTCAATAAAACAATGAATTTGCCTACAGTTAGCGGATTGTGATTCATGCACTCACTGACAACAGAGCAGAGTGAGGCCTGCATCCAGCAATGTCACAAGTCACGTGACCCCTTTTTGCAGCTGTCTCAGTTCTGCACTCCAGGGAGAGAGAGGGGGAGAGGGCAAACTCCACTGAACTACACTGAACAAAAATATAAACACAACATGCAACAATTTCAAAGATTTTACTGAGTTACAGTTCATATAAGGAAATCAGTCAATAGAAATTAATTCATTAAGCCCTAATCTATGTATTTCACATGACTGGGAATCCAGATATGTATCTGTTGGTCACAGATACACTATATGACAAAGGTATGTGGACACCTGCTTGTCGAACATCTCATTCCACAATCATGGGAATTAATATGGAGCTGTTCCCCCCTTTGCTGCTATAACAGACTCCACTATTCTGGGAAAGCTTTCCACTAGATGTTGTAACATTGCTACGGGGACTTGCTTCCATTCAGCCACAAGAGCATTAGTGAGGTCAGGCACTAATGTTGGGCGATTAGGCCCGCAGTTGCCGTTCCAATTCATCCCAAAGGTGTTCGATGGGGTTGAGGTCAGGGCTCTGTGCAGGCCAGTCAAGTTCTTCCACACCGATCTCAACAAACCATTTCTGTATGGACCTCGCTTTGTTCACGGGGGCATTGTCATGTTGAAACAGGAAAGGGCCTTCCCCAAACTGTTGCCACAAAGTTGGAACCACAGAATCGTCTAGAATGTCATTGTAGGCTTAGAATGTCATTTTCCGCAACAGTATTTAAATATAGAATACTGTAAATTAATGATTCTCTCTTTTGTTCAAGCATTTGTCTACGATGTGTGTAGAAGGCTCTGATCATGGAGTGACCAAGCATTGTTCTAAGTTCCTTTTCAGGTTTGTCCCTTCCACATCCACTCAATGAGAGACAATATTGAGAAGACAGGTCTGAAAGATTCCATATTCTTTATGTAGAATTATTCACTGCGTTACTCAATAAGTTTCATACCATGATAAAATGGGGTGAAATATAGGGGAAATTTAAAAAGGGAATAAGTACAAAATCAAGAGGTTAATTTTTGTGGACTGTCAGCCTTGTCAGTGGAAGGTTAGCCACTTGTCCCCAAAAAAAATTCAAGTCTGGATATTTATCAGTGTATGACTCAATTTTTCAATGCTTTCATCCAATGGAGCCTACAGCAAATCCCTTAACAATAAGTATGCATGTATTCTGTTCCATAAAGGTTCCAAATAGAGGACTACAACACATCTCAGCATGGCATGTGTAACAGAGTAAGAAAATATATCCTGTTTTATTTGTGAAGTTCGCCAAAATTAGTTTAAAAAGCATTGAAATCATGTTATTGAGTTCCTGTTTAATAGTTGACTGACATTGTGTAGTTGGTTGACAATATTTCACTCTGGCTGCTCTATTGTTGTTGCGTATCATTTTCCCTCAGACTGTTTCATGCTGAAGGAGTGTATGGTAGGTTGGAAATGCTTCTCTACTCCTTTCCCAGTTAAAGGCACGGTCTCTTGATATAATTACGTCCAAACTGTCACAGAATTTGTATGAACTAATGAACAACATAATGACAAGTAGTTTGTTGTAATGTGAAATGTATTTTGGTTGTTTTAACTGAGTTTTCATGCTAACTTGTTACCTATGCTAGCTCTCGTCCTGTTAGCCATGTACAATGTTAGCTAGTTTGTTATCAACATGTGTGTGCTGTCCAAACCTAGAAGGTTAGACATTATTATTTTTTAATCCTTTTATGTTGTAGGAGAGTGAGAGAAGCCATAAGTCAACTAACACTGCGGTGTGTGTTATTGCCTGTCCCAGGTATGTGATTGAATGCGTTGTCTCTGGGGAATTTGTATTTGTTCTATGTAATTGTTGTTGTCTATTTCTATTGTATAATTTTATATGGAGCTCATGCATTGGTTTCTCAAATGACTGCCTCGCCTGGTTCACCATCTACTTCTCAGATAGAGTTCAATGTGTCAAATCGGAGGGCCTGTTGTCTGGACCTATGGCAGTCTCTATGGGGGTGCCACAGGGTTCAATTCTCGGGCCGACTCTTTTCTCTGTGTATATCAATGATGTCGCTCTTGCTGCTGGTGACTCTCAGATCCACCTCTACGCAGATGACACCATTTTGTGTACATCTGGCCCTTCATTGGACACTGTGTTAACAAACCTCCAAACGAGCTTCAATGCCATACGACACTCCTTCCGTAACCTCCAACTGCTCTTAAACACTAGTAAAACTAAGTGCATGCTCTTCAATCGAACGCTGCTGGCACCCGCCCACCCGACTAGAATCACTACTCTCGGCGGGTCTGACCTAGAGTATGTGGACAACTACAAATACCTAGGTGTCTGGTTAGACTGTAAAGTATCCTTCCAGACTCACATTAAGCATCTCCAATCCAAAGTTAAATCTAGAATCGGCTTCCTATTTCACAACAAAGCCTCCTTCACTCATGCTGCCAAATATGCCCTCGTTAAACTGACTATCCCACCGATCCTTAACTTCGGCGATGTCATTTACAAAATAGCCTCCAACACTCTACTCAGCAAATTGGATGTAGTTTATCACAGTGCCATCCGTTTTGTCACCAAAGCCCCATATATTACCCACCACTGTGACCTGTACGCTCTTGTTGGCTGGTCCTCACTACATATTCGTCGCCAAACCCACTGGCTCCAGATCATCTATAAATCACTGCTAGGCAAATCCCCGCCTTATCTTAGCTCATTGGTCACCATAGTAACCACCACCCGTAGTATGCGCTCCAGCAGGTATATCTCACTGGTCATCCCCAAAGCCAACACCTCCTTTGGCCGCCATTCCTTCCAGTTCTCTGCTGCCAATGACTGGAACGAACTGCAAAAATCTCTGAAGCTGGAGACTCTTATCTCCCTCACTAACTTTAAGCATCAGTTGTCAGAGCACCTTACCGATCACTGCACCTGTACACAGCCCATCTGAAATTAGCCCACCCAACTACCTCATCCCCATATTGTTATTTATTTGGCTCATTTGCACCCCAGTATCTCTATTTGCACATCATCTCTTGCACATCTATCATTCGAGTGTTAATACTAAATTGTAACTATTTTGCACTATGGCCTATTTATTGCCTTACCTCCATAACTTGCTACATTTGCACACACTGTATATATATATATGTATTTTTGACATTATGTTTTGTTTACCCCATATGTAACTCTGTGTTGTTGTTTTTAATCGCACTGCTTTGCTTTATCTTGGCCAGGTCACAGTTGTAAATGAGAACTTGTTCTCAACTGGCTTACCTGGTTAAATAAAGGTTAAATAAAAAATAAAATAAAAAAAATAATGAAAGAAAAATGAAATATACTATATGATCAAAACAAGAATACTATAACAGACTGTTTCATGCTGATGGAGTGTATGGAGTGTGAGAGAAGCAATAAGTAAACTAACACTCTGTCAAGGGCTGATGTAAGTGTGGTGTGGAAGTCAGGCGCAGGACACCGAAGCTTAGTCCAACAAAGTTTACTAGTTAACCACTAGGAAAAAATACAATAAACGGCCTCAAAAACACACAGAGGCGAGCGATTACGCAAACTGTGCGTAAACTCCAAAACAACAAACAGAGCAAACACGCAGCACTAACTGACATGCGAAAAACAACACACAACCTAACCAATACAAAACAGGCAACTTATAGAACACATAATCAGACACAAACGGACACAGGTGCAATAGACAGACAAAAGCAATCAAACATAGAAACATTCAACGGTGGCAGCTAGTACTCCGGGGACGACGAACGCCGAAGCCTGCCCGAACAAGGAGGAGGAGCAGCCTCGGCAGAATCCGTGACAGTACCCCCCCCTTGACGCGCGGCTCCAGCCGTGCGCCGACCCCGGCCTCGGGGACGGCCAGGAGGACGCGGACCCGGGCGCGTGGGATACCCACGGTGGAACTCAGTCAGGAGGGATGGATCTAGGATGTCCCTCCTATGCACCCAGCACCGTTCCTCCGGACCGTACCCCTCCCACTCCACGAGATACTGGAGACCACTCATCCAGCGCCTCGAGTCCAAGATGGTCCGGACCCTGTACGCCGGGGCCCCCTCGATGTCCAAAGGGGGCGGAGGGGTCTCTCCTATCTCATCTTCTTGGAGTGGGCCAGCTACCACCGGCCTGAGAAGAGACACATGGAACGAGGGGTTAATATTCTTGTAATCAATAGGCAGTTGTAACCTGTAACACACCTCGTTCAATCTTCTCAGGACTTTAAAGGGCCCCACAAACCGCCGACCCAGCTTCCGGCAGGGCAGGCGGAGGGGCAGG